CCAGAAACGTTCCCTCCTCTCTTCCACTCGGCACTTATGAAAACCATAGGGATCAGATTGTACAGGTTTATAATTTAAAAAGCATTGTTTAAATAATCTTTTAAAAAAGTGGCTTAAACTTTCTGGACAAATCACTTTTTAACAACTTTACTGAGATACAGTCCACATGTGATAGAATTCAGCCACTTAAGGGTACAAGTCAGTGATTTGTAACCATCACCATAATCTAATTTTAGCACATTATCCTCCTCCCCTCACACGCCAAAGAAATCCTCATGCCCATTAGCAGTTGCTCCTCACTTCTCTCCAACCCGCCTTCACACCCTGGTCTTAGGCAACCACTCATTTACTTGCTATCTATAGATCTGCCCAATCTGGACATTTAATATAAATGGAATCATATAATCTGGGGTCTTTTGAATGGTTTATTTCACCTAGTATACTTTTTTTGAGGTTCATTGTGTTGTAGCATGTGTTAGTACTTTATTCCTTTTTATTGCCAAGTAATATTCCTCTGTACAGGAACTGTGTAAATGTATCACATTTTACCCATTTATCAGTTGATGGATATTTGGGTTGTTTACACTTTCTGGCTATTCTGAATATGAATAAAGTTGCTATGAACACTCACATACAAGGTTTTATGTGGGTAAATATTTTCATTCCTCTTAGGATTATATTGGGAGTGGAACTGCAGCAGTTACCACAAACATACTGTGACTATGTTTAACATTTTGAAGGACTGCCAAACTTTTCCAAAGTGGCTGCACTATTTTACATTTCCACCATCAATGTATGAGAGTTCCAATTTCTCCACATCCTTGCAAACACTTGCTACTGTCTGCATTTTTGGTTATAGCCCTTCCAGTATTCGTAGAATGGTCTCTCACTGTGGTTTTGATGCTCATTTCCTTAATGACTCAAATGAACAATGGTGACTTGTTTCATATTTAGACCATATTTGGCACCAGTCTCAAGCGCAGGGTTAACTGTGTGTATCTGTTGCTGCCCTCTTAGCAAAGTGTTCTAAGAGGCATGCCTTAAAGCTTGTCAGTTATAAAGGAGCAATCCTTGGGTCTGCTCTGCATGGTTGCATAGATGGTGCAGTACATACACGGCTCCTTTAAGAGATAGGGCAGCCCTAGAAATACTGATAAAGACAGGTGTGGGGTGGGAATAGGTCTACTTTATTTGTTATGTTCTCCCCAGATTTTCTGATTTCTTACAAATACAAGTACTTGACACTAAAAAAAAAAACCAGCTTTTTTGGGCTTCTCAAAGTAGAGAACTAGACTCCAAACATCAGTGCAGCCACCACAGAAAATACCATTTTGTGCGGCCTCTGAATGCGGACAGCCAGCCTGCTTGTGGTGATACCTCTGGGCATTGCTGAGCTCCTGATGAGCCTCTGTCATTCTAACTAGCAGCTCATCTCTGAATAAAATATTACTTAAAAAAATTATTTGACATGCTCAAAGTCCATTCAGTTATTCAGCTTAATGATGACTGCCCGCTAGGGCTGCCCATCAGACTGTGTAGATAAGATCATTTGTTTAGCTACTGTGTACTTAGGCACTTGAGAAAAATATCTTTGATGAAATGTACCTTTCTCATTTTTACATCAAATATTGAGATATTTCTGGTGAGCTACCCCATGCTTTAGTCCCCATGAATGTCAGAATAAGACTGGCTTCCGAGAGCTACACCAGAAAATCAGTCCATAAGGGATGAGCTCCAAGATGTGCAAACAGTAAAGAGGGAGAGAAAGTTTTGGTAAACACCTAATTTGAGAAGCTACTAAGAAAACAGCCAAAGCCAATTAAAAGTTGGTCAGAAGTAGATCTTATCATAATTAGACATAGAAAAGTGATGGGGAGAGAGTATAGCCTAGTGGTAGAGTGTCTGCCTAGCATGCACAAGGTCCTAAGTCCAGTTCCCCAGAACTTCCACTAAAAAAAAAATAAAAACTTAATTACCTTCTCCCCCCAAATAAAAAAAAAGTAAGAACAACAACAACAACAAAAAGGAAAAATAAGAAAAGTGAGAATAAGAAAGGAAGAAAGAAACTATCGTTGAGTCTAACAGTCCTGATTTTAAATCCAAGCTCTGTGATTTAGTTGAGTGATCCTGGAATGTTATTTAACCTTTTAAAGTCTCAGTTGCCTCATGTACAAAATGCAGATAATAGTACTTAATTCATGGCATTGTTTCAGGGATTAAACTAGGTAATACATACAAAGCATGAGAAACAATGCTTGGCAAATAGTAAGTGCCCAATACATGTAGATAATCACAAACCCATACAGGCTGTCTAAGGGAGGAGGTTCACAAACCTGACTACCTCTGTCCCTGTGGCAAGTATACCCCTTAGATGGACTCATTAGACAACTGTAACTCGATGCCACCAAGGCATCTGGATGGGGAAAATAATATCAATAACCTTGCAGCAGTATTCTGAGGTTTAAGTGAAATGCTGTATATAAAGTATCGAGTTCAGCACTTCGCTCAGTCTCTCTACAAATGGTAGCCATTATCCTTTAAGGACTAACATAACTTCTGTCATTTCTAGGAAGCCTTTCCTTCTCTCCCACAGTCAGATTTAATTTCTCTCTCCTTTGTTCCAACACTATTGTTTACATCTCTATTATGATACTGTACTAAAATTATGTGTCTATTTCCTTGACTAAGTTGTGAGCTCCTGAAAGACCAGTGCTGAATTATTACTCTCCCTTTAATGATCAGCTCATAGGAGAATGCCTGGCTATCTAAATGAGTAAAACACATGGTTCCTGCCTTCAAGGAGCTTAGAGTTTATAAGGGAGAGAAGATCTCCCTTGATATGTGCCATGGAAGACACGGGCATTCAGAACTACATGTTATAACACAAAGAACTGTGAATCTGAAGCTGGTAAAACCAGGTTCAAATTCTAGCCTGACACTCACTATGCTTCTAAGCAAGTGGCTTAATTTTTACTAAAGTTTGTTTCTTTATGTGTAAAATGGGGATTCATGTTTCTCTTTCAGGTCACGTCCTCTGTCTACTCTCTTTCACAGTCAGAGCTACCAAAATAGTTAGCTAAACCCACTTTCTTCACTTCTACACCGCCCATCCCCTCTTTATTCTATTGTAATTTTATTTCATTTTTCCCTTGGATCTTGCTAGAGTAACAACTGACCTCCATATTGTTAAGTCCAATGTATACTTTCCAATTTTCACCTTTCTTGACTTTTCAGCACCATGTGACACAAACACTCAACTTCTCTTTGAAACTCATCTCCTCTCATGGCTGCCTAGCCTTACAACCTCATCCTCATTACTATCCTACGATACCCTATGCTCTGGACATTTGTATCTCTCCTCTGACCCCTGGATCACCATTTCATACTTCTATGATTTTATATATTTTGTTCCTTCTACCTGGTATGCCTTCTTGCTCTTCTAAAATTTTTATCTGCCTGATTGAACTTTTCCTGACACTTCCAGACCCAGTTCAAATATGTCTGTTTTGCAAGTTCTCTTGACACTTTGACTTCCTCTACCAAAACAAAGTTAAGCCCTCCCTTCTTTATGCCACCACTGTACCTTGTACATCTCTGTTAATAACAATGAAAGCTATCATTTACTGGTCACCGTGTGCCAGACGTGTATTTGTAAGCACTTTACATGTACTGATTTGCATACTCAGAACCACCACAAGAGGTAAGAACAACTATTATACCTATTTTATAGATGAAGAAACAGACACAAAGAGTTTATAAAACTTATCCAAGGTGGAATGCAAACCTGCTCTGCCCCTGCACATTTAACTACTGATACAGGATAGCACCTATCACCATATATTGTAACTATTAGTTTCCTGTTTTAGACTGAACTCTTGAGGGCAAGACCTTTCTTACTCTTAATCATTTTTTAACACCATGTGCTTAGCAAAGCACTGGGTATATAGTAAGTACTCAAAAATATTTGTTAACTTAAAAGGTTTGCTAAATCAAATGCAAAACTTAAGGGAAGGGGCTATGTTTTTTTAAAAGTAGTTATAAGAAAAAACTGTTTCTCTCCTTGGCAACAGAAGTGAAGAATCTACTAGATTAATACAATATGACCATAGAGCCTTCTGGTTATAAATGACCAGAGGGGAAAGAATTAAAACGGAGGAAATGAGGAAGGATGAGTAGGATATAAGAAATTCCCAGGCATCTTTTTCAAAATACACATGGCTAGGCTTACCAAAATCTCAGGACCTACGTATTTTTCAAATGTTCCAGAAATGATCTGATATTACTAATACCCTGCCATCCCACTTGAGACTCAATGATGTAGGCAAATAATATAGTGGGTTTATTTATTATTTAGTATTTGTTCATAGCAGTTAATGAAGAATCCTGAATGATTACTGATGTCAAAGTAAGCAATTAACTTGGGAGACGCTCATTATGAATTAGAGATTTCATATTGACTTATTAGCCTTAAACACCAGGAAACAATCCAGTCTTCACATCAAAATCTCAAACCCACAACAAAGCTATTCAATCCCTTCTCCCAACAATTTCATACTTTCTTTATAAGCAGCATGAGAAAAATATCTCAGGATTTTCAAAATGTCTGGATGTTTTATTAAGATTATTCATATCTCTACAGTGACATAAATTAGACCTTCTCTGTTCAATTTCAAAGCCGTGACAATAAAAAATTTAAACTCACTTCCATTATTTCAGCATATAAACTTCACATGTTATTTTAGAAGAGAAGATAAAGGTAAAAGTTCTACCTGGTTTTGAAGACCCAGTATCAGCCTGTCCTAACTGCTTTTTCCTTTTGGCTTCTTCCACTGGATTTTCAAACTGGGTTTTCTGGTTAAGGTGACTGTAAAATGTAGAAAAATGTGCATTTCAGTTTAATATGAAAGAATTACATATTTTAAAATAGACCATCATACTGTTCCATCAATAAAGGTTAAGGGACAAATATGTACCTTTAAGCTGTAGAACCCAAAGACACTGAAAGGTCATCATGTAAGGGGCTTCTGGCAACTAAAGAAGGGCCTGGAAGATGCCTAGAAGTCAAAGCTGCTAAGTATTTACGATAACTTCTTTACAAACGTTCCCAATATAGCTAATAACAGTTTCCCAAATCATAGTAGAAGCCCTCATACATGATACTATCAGAACTGTTGATAATTAACCAGTTAATTTTTTAAAAGGCAGTTAATGGTAGGAAGCATCCAAGTTTCTCTAAAGTAAAACAGCTGTCAAGACACTTTTGAAGAAGTCTAAGAAGTCTTCTGGAATTTTACTATTATTTTTCCAACTGACTCATTCATATCAATGTAGCAGCAACTAAGAAAGTGACTAGCCTTTACCAAACTGTATCACAGAACAATTCTTTCACACTTAAATTTCTTCAAAATATATATATATTATATTTTATTATATTTTATATAATAATTATTATATATTAATATATAATAATTAATTACAGAATTACAACATAAGTCTAAGGGGATAGGATATTAGCCAACAGTATTCAATACACTATGGACAAGAGCATGTTTTATGAGGGAACTGAGTATTGGTTATTCCGGAGGTCAGTTAAGTAAGTTGGTTAAGAATGCAACTATTGTACAAAAGATGTTTGAGATCACAAATATATCTAATACAAAGAAGCAAGGAGAATTATATTCGAGTGCTTCCACAGTACAAATAGATTTTAGCCCAAAACTATGCATTTTCCAGTAGAATTCTTTTCAACAAGTGACATGAGTGAATACCAATAATTAAACATCAAATCATGAGAGTTTCAGATTATGATTGTCTTTAGATGGGCTGAAAATTACAAAATTTATATGTAAGTAGTCGTAAAACTTGGATATTTACTGTGCCATTTGTGAACACTCATGGTGATGGAGGAGGGGGCAGCAGGGACCGAAAAAAAAAAAAAACCCTTATGGCAAGGTATGCTAGCCTCTGAGTATGCCTCTCTATGCCTTTACGCTTCTACAGGCATTATCTACTCTGCCACAGACAGTTCTTTAGTTTCAGAGCTCTAAATATGGCAAGTTCTACTTGACATTCTTTGAGTTCTGCTTTCACTAAAACCCAAATATGCTTCTGTTTCATACTATGAGGGGGTACCTTATCAATTGAGTTAACTGGCTAACCCTCTGTGAAACAGAAGATCTTTGGTATTAAGTTAGGTACCGTTTTTAAAAGTTATGTATTAGGTACTGATATTTTACATATTCTTGAAAAAATAAAACAACTAGAAACTGACACTTAGAAAAAGAATAAACCTGTTTAGAAAGAACCTTGGCTCACTTTAACGTCATCTGCAAGAATGACTCACTTTGCCACCCAGGTATTAGAACATAAAAAAGTAGTAATTTGTATTTATACTCTTTGTAATGTGTGGGAGAAGAGAGTAGAAGTATGCAAATGAGTAATCTTTTTCCTGAAAATTCGCTGACAAAAGAATGTAAGATTTTAGTGAAAGGAGTAATTGCATCTGTCACCTTAGACTACCCAGATTAAAATGCCACCCAAACCCCAAAACAAAACAGTAAAATTACTTTCCTTTTCATTTAGTTACTTATACCCATAATATTAACAGATTTTGTTTTCTATATAACTAGCTATGGGAAGTAAGAGAGGAGAATATAACAGATTATCAGATAAATTAAACAAGGGTGCCAAACAAGCATGATTAAATATATAATATAATAAATAATTTGCAATCTCCTCTGTACTGAAATTTTGTGTATAATATATGGATTTAAAGATTTCATCTCAACAAACAAGATCATTAAGCTTCATGAAGAGCTGAGATATTAAAGCACATGTATATTTTGACTTTGTCACCTAACTGCATCAAGATGGTTAATTCAATAAAATAAGACATTTCTAAATATATAAGCAATCTTATGGAAGGCTTGCCATTAAATTTTGGGAACAATTTTATTTTCAAAAATTAATTAATCCATTTCAGAATCTCATCTTCTAAAACAAATACTTACCAAAAAGACCTGTCATTGCAGTTGGTGTTACTACTACAAGGCTCCTGCCAAAAGCAATCATTGTGCCATCTGGTTTGACAAACTAAGAGAGCCAAAGAGTAGCCATTCAAGTAACAGCTTTTTATCTCCATCAGTAAACTCACTGCAGATTACTATAGTTGAGATTCAAAGCCTAACTAATCTGGGAATCAAGCCACACTCCACAAAGTTCAGCTGACTCCATACTAATATGCATCTTGAGAACAGCCTGCTCTTTCTTAATCTAATAAATTACCCTCCTGTAAAATGAGCTCGTTCTGGGAACAATCATACAAAATCACATCGCTGCCACTGCTGTTGCTTCTAATCAGGCTATTTCACATACCTCCATGACAGCTGGGAGCAGGTCACTTCAGGATTTGCCCTCAAGTTGCTTCAATATTAGTACATCCTTGTTTAATGAGAACCAGATCATTTTAGCCCAAGATTTTATCATAGGCAAATGACTTTCACCTCTTGACCATGTATTCAAATTCACTTGGAATGGATAATGAGGATGAGAATCATTATCTCAGAAATGTTCAGCAGTGTTAGTGGCAAATAATAGTTGACTGAAGCCCAATTTAAATAGACTATTAGAGGGTGAAAAATCCCCCAAATTCCTTTCTCCTAGCCTTCAAATATCCCTTTGACTTGAAAAATGTTTTTCTCCTTTTAACACTAAATAGGCTTTAGAAAAAGTAACAGAAGAGCTGCTGTATACTTTTCCCATTACAGTATCAGAAAGATATTAAGTAACATAATGGAAATTAAGTTAACATAACCTTTCTTTTTTTGTTTGTTTTTGTTGTTTGGGGGGGAGGTAATTAGGTTTATTTACTTTTTTATTTGACTGGAGGTACTGGGAATTGAACCCATCACCTCATACCTACTAAGCATGCGTTCTACTACTGAGCTATACCCTCCCCCCATAACATAACCTTTCAATGGTACCAAAATAGTGACACTGTTAATTTATATATTTAAGGGTCAAATTGCATCATTTTCTTAGGGTACAAGTTAGATCTTAAGAGATGATTCCAAAAATCTCTAACCACAGTGACTCAAGTAACAACTTACACATTAAAGGTTAGAGTTACAACAGCACTCAGTTACTTACTTTAGGGAAGTGGCATTGGTTTACGGCAAAAAGTGATGAAAAACTAATAAGCAATCGTAAGACTAGAAGATTCTCATGTCTGCTATTTTTCCAGGTAATAGTATCATTTTGCCCTCACTGCCTAGGCAGTTGGTGCAGATTCCTAGTTTCCAGGTAAGTAGTTTCTGATGCAATTATTTGCCTGGTACTACATGCCTGAGGTCAAAATTCTATCTACGTTCAATCCCAAGTACCTCCTCTAAAAATAAAATAAATAAGTAAACCTAATTACCCCCCCCAAAATAAATGAAATAAAATATACTTCAAAAAAAATTCTATCTACAGCATCTGGAAAGAAGGCAATCCCAACAATCACAACAATGTAGCAGTTAGATAAATGAAGAAAAGGAAAGAAAACTTAGATGTTGGCGTTACCCTAATTTCTCCGGCTAACACAGGCAGGTGTCTGATGCTCTGCTCCAACACAGATTTGTGTTTAAATTTAACCGTAACAGCTGTGTGAGAAGCAACTTTCACCCCCCAGAAGAATACTAAGTTTTCTTTGATTAACTCCAAGAAAAAGAGAACGCTTTTAATCATATACGTCAAAACTCTGGATCATTATGGTACGATACCCTTAAAGTCCTTCCACTGCTTCAGAACCATGCAGGTGTAGTGTTGAAAGTGACCTTAATAGCTCACCTAGTCCAGTGCCCTTATTTCAGTTTTCTATCTACTACTTCTCTTTAGAGGCTGTGGTAGTAATGATAACAATCCAGCTATTAATCATCTGGGCAAGTTTCCCCAGCTCTCTCTACTTACTTCAAAGCCAACTTCTAGGGAGCCCAGAGTCAGTGAAATAAATGCTCACTGTCCCTATCTTCTCACTCCCCTGGTGGCAAAACCCGAAAGCTGGCTTGCAGAAGCATAAAGTGCTGCATTCAGCATCCCCGAAAGGTGTGCAATGAAAGGAAAGCGTTTGGGAGAACATTCACTGAGGTAGGACACTTACTCAACATAGTATGTCCCGTACTGAGGGTCCTCTATCTTCTCCCAGCCATAAGGAAGTTCTGCAAATCAAAAAAAAGAATTGAGTGAGATTCCGGTTTCAAAACCAAGAAGAACCGAATTTACCGAGTGAATGTGTGTCTTTTATTTCATTATATTAATATGTGGGAGACAGAAAGCTGAGGGCTCACTTTCAAAGAACAAACGGTTTGAGTCTGAGGATCTTCTTCAAAAGTGAGTGAGTGTCTCAGCAAGTAATTAGAAGCTCAGAACAAAAGGCGACTTTAAACTCAAAGGTGTTTATTAGAATCACAAGCCATAAAAATGCTAATTATTTAAGAAATCACCTGCTATATTTCTTTCATTTAAAAAGCTTGATAGAGCTGATGTGAGACACACCCTGTAGTTCAATGCAAGGAGCAGCTGCTGGTTAATTTTTTCACTATTCTACAAAAGATCTGTCAATTATTCCTGCTACCACATCCTGACCCACTTCTCCCCACAGGAAAGTCCAACCTTGGATTTTTGCCACTTCAAGTGGGCAACCTAGATTTGCTGAAATTCTAAGAAAATATCTACTTTCCCTTGCATTAACTTGATCTAAGTAACCGAAGGAAAATTGATTTAACTACCACAGTGCCTTGTGTAGAAATTCTACTTGTGTTTGGTAACAAAGAAAAATCTTACGTAGGGTTATTCTGTATTATTGCAAGTAATGGACCAATAAAATAGAACGAGAAAAATTAAAGGTAGTTGAATTTCTGATAATTAAAAAAAAATTCTGGTCTTTCCAACATAAACTGACCCTGTCAAGAAAGAATCCTCTTTCCCTCCCACTTTGTCTGTTTTCCAAGGTAAAGCTGCTGAAGAATCATTTTATTTGTCAGACGTGGATTAAGTTGGCAGGAATGTTCCTCGCAGGTGGCTTTTAGTGCTATCAATTATACACAGGAGCCCAGCAAGAAAGAATTTTTAAAAAACCTACAGTTGTACACTATGATGACCTACCTATTTATTTTCAATTTCTTTTAGAGTGTTTTTCTGCTATACTGAAACACGTATATCTGTGTGTGCACGCACACACACACACACGTGCACGCACACACACATGCACGCACACACAAGACACGCTAGACAGGACACAGGCTTAGGAAATATCAAAGGACTTATCAATTTTATATCATTTACCTACAGTATGATGTAAAATTTCCATTGTAATGAACCTGATAAGCTAGACAAACTGTCATGCTTTAATAAAAAGTATTATTCCACATTCAGAATAAAAGGAGAGAACAGATAAGAAGCCTCTTGATGAGAAGCTTTGAATCACCTCCACCCCTTTCCTCCAGCATATTTTTTTTCCTGTGTATGTATATTAATTGGTGATTTTGAAGCTTGGTGAGTTTTTGTGGTTTTCCTTTGAAGGACCAGGCTGAAATGTCTGAGGTGGAAAAGATGAGTATAGCTGAGTAACTCCTATGTGAAAACACATCAAAACAACTGAGAAGAACTGGGATGCACTTCAGTTCACTTTGATTCTCCACAGCTATGAAGCCAACGATCACCAGTTAAGCAGGTACAATATTTTATGACCGATGTGAGCCATAGAAGAACAAAGAGCATTGCTCATCAGCCATTTCTACAAGGGTTAAGCTGCAACCCACTGCAGTCATGCAGGACAGTGTATCGTGAAAAGAATTCAGAATGAAAACAAAACAAAATGGGATGAGGCACTCTGTGATTTGGATAAATGAACCCCTAGATAATTAGATACATATCGCAGGAAGAATTTCAATGAACCCAGATCCTTGCATCTTCCTGTACATAGAAAAGTATTAAGACCATTAACTTGAGAGAGCTGTTCTTGGCGATTAGCAGTCATCTTTTTCCAAGATGTATGCTTGGCTACATTTATTTCCTAGCCAAAAAATTCATATATATCTGGCTTTTCCTCACCTCTCGAAGCAGTCCCTCAGAGCTACTGAGTAGTGAAAAAACCTCCAACTTACAGCTCTCATGTTGTGCGTTTTTCTTTAAGTCCACACCAAGTAACGGTTAACATGGATAAGAGCAACTGTTGGATTATATCTGTGAAAAATGCTCTATAATAATATTACCAAAGCATTACAATTAGGGATCTTCCACAAAAGAGATATTTTTCTTTAGTAGACTTTTTTTGAAATAGCACAGGAAATCAATTGTGCTGTATAAAGATGAATTCTACAATTGTACCACAATAATTTATGTGATGTCTTTAGAAAATTTTGAAGAATCGAAGGAACTATAGACAGTTGAAACATTCCACTTGACATCTGAAAAATTCACTAAAAAGGATGTATTAATGCCTAATAAGAATAAAAGATCAACATAAACACATTTCAATGTTAGCATGAAAGTTGAGTCAGCACTTTAGTTGGCACTTACAGCAATTAGCAACTAACAGATAAAGTACAGCCCTTTCTTTAGGAGAGTACACAGATTGGTAACTTATTTTCTGGATAACTTGTAGTAATCACTTTACATCCTTACTAGTGACATTAGCCAGTTTTTTTGCAGGGCAGATTCATGCAGATAAAGAAGTGGTTATTATTGGCCCACTTTCGTAAATAAAGGTAATAAAAGCAACACTGAAATGCCTAACAATTTTCTACACTAACCAGTGGATCAATTCATCCACTTCCTTCCTTCTTTTTTCCCCTTCCTTCCTTTTCTTCCTCATGCAAAAATAAAAATTAGAAACAGAACACAGTTCTTGACCTCAAGGAGTTCATAGTCTAAACATGAAAACAGAAGAGATCAACGATACAATGAAGATAAATGCAAGCTTTTGGGGGAGTGCAGAGCAGTGACACCAACTGCCTGGTAAAGCAGTTATCAAAAAAACCTTCTGAAAGAGGGTGATGTTTTGAGCAGTTTTAGAATGCGTTGGGATTAGGGAGAGGGAAGCCATTCCACAGATCAAAGAGCACTGAGGCCTTACGAATGCCTGGCATTTTCAGTAATTACAGATAATCTGATTGCACTAAAGTGAAGGTTGTATACAAGAGGGCTTGTCTTCTAAGCAAGCATCAAATCACATTTCTGGAGTGCTGGGTTAAGGAATTTGGTCTTTTATTTTGACAATGGTGAAACTGATTAAGCTGGACTATGACATGATTAAATATATATTTGAGAAAGATTATGGGCAGCAGCAATAAAAAAATGAAATAGATGGTGTGTAGTGAGAATCAAGGCAGACAAACAAGAAAATCATTAATAGTCTAGTTAAAAAATTAGGAAGGCTGGAACTAAGGCATTAGTAGTGGAAATACAGAGAAAGACTGGGTAAAGAGACAAAGGAGTTCAAGTAATAGGACTCAATGACTAACATGAAGGTTGACGGAAGAAAAGGGGAGGAAGCCAAGATGATTCCCAGATTAATGGCTCTTCTTGCATGAAAATGATACATTGATAATTTGCTGGATACCTACTATGAAAATCGCTGTGGGAATAGGACAGAGGTATTAATTTGGATTTAGAGGCATTTAGGAGACAGATAATATGTCAAAAGTGCCTAGCACCATTGGATACTTACGAGATGGCAGGTTTCTTAAAGTCAGAATTGACAGAACTTGGTACTTAACTGCAATGAAGAGGACAGGGCAAGGAGAGAACTGAGGATGATAACCAGTTTTAGGCTCACAGAACTGGGAGGATGTGAAGGCATTTGTTGAGGGCAGGTATACAGAAGACTGAGCTCAGTTTGGGAGGGGTTACATTCGAGGGGCTATGCAATATCCTTGTAGAGATATCTAACAGTCTCTTGGAAATATGAACCTCTTCAAAAGAAAGATGTAGGAAGATAAGGATTTGGGAGACACTGCAGTTAAAGCCATGGCAGTGGACAAGATTACCTAGATAAACTGTGAATAGATAAAGATGGAGAACAGAAGCTTAGGAACATTAACAATTTAAGAAGTAGAGAATAAGTAAGAATAGTCAGGGGGATGGTGTCAAAGAAGATAGAAGAGAGCAAATGCTTTATAAACTGTCAGGACTAAAGGTAAGTGCTAAAAAGAGCTCACCAAATTCTGCCATCAAGCAGAAGATGACTGGTACCCTAAAGAAAAGCAGATTCACTCCAAAAGGTAGGAGGCAAAATTCAGCACATTGTAGTATTGAAGAGTAAAATAAAAGGTGGAGCCCTTAAGATGAGATAGCCTTTTTTTTTTCCTCTCTTTTTGCCCCTGGAAGCTTGGTTGTGAAAAAAATTGTGTGAGAACCATGAGGAGAAGTAAGGTCAAGAGAAAATATGTTTATTTACTGCTGAGATAGGAAAGACTTAACCATATTTTTCTATGTTAGAAGCTAAAGTTGATTCAAAAGGCAGAACTATTTCTGACACATCAAGCAGCTGACTGGTTCTAAAGCCCATGAATTTATTTCTTTTCTCTTCCCAGAGTAGGATTTTTCTTATTTAAATATGTGAATTACAATTGTTTTCTCATTGTGGAGCTCTATTCAGTTGATAATTTTCTTTTACCATTCTCTGAGCTCCACAATGACATCGACATTCAATACATTTTAGTAAAAAATGTAATCTTTCTTTCATCATAAGAGAAAATGGGTGGGTTGAGAGCAAAATGGATTCCTGATGTTGAATTTTTATGATAACCATTTAACTAAAACATTCATTATTTTATTTGAGTGGATAATAAATATGTACATCAATTAAACCATCAGATACGGTATAAAAACACAGATTCTGAATATCAGAAGACTGGGGAGAAAACGGCAAGTTTTAGAAACCGTAAGGTTTTTCCTGAAGATTTTAAATGTCCAGCAGGATGCAAACAATATCTTAGAACTATAAAAACTTGTATTTAAAATATTATCATTACTATCTCCTTTTGTGCATCTACTCTGTGCAAAGGACTAGGGAGACTGTCAGTAAGTTAGAGATAGTCAAGTCTGGACATAGCCTATTGTGGGGCTATTTCTCCCCTATTCAGGGAGGCGACAGAGTACATGGCAAAAGTGGCAAAGACTGGCTGAGCATAAAATAGGCAGGCTAGAGGTTCCGAATTTTTGGGTCCCCACAGGGAAATACAGGTGATGTTAGAAAGGCATACCCAGTTATGGGGGTGAGAGAGTAGCCCTTACAGTCAAAGGTTTTCAACATTCCCAGAATGCTGAGTATAATTTTGGTTGCTCTGTCTTAAGAAAGATATAATCAAGATGACCATCTAATGTGGATATTTTTGAAAGTAAAAGGGGACACTACTAATAATTATGCTGGGACAATAGGAATAAGCTGGGTTAGTCTTGGGCCAACCGAGATACATGGTCACCCATGTAAAGAGCATTAGAGAGACACATTCATCCAGAGGAACAGTTTGAGTTTTTTTGAGCCCCTTTACTTCATTTTCTAAGGAAGAAAGAGTATCTTATCTGACTGGTGAGTTTTAAAGAATGAATTCAATATGCTTGGCTCAGGGCCTCTTGGAATCTCTTGCTGTTTTGGATGTCAGCCTGCCTGCAGAGAGGGTGTAACTGCGTCTATACACCATGCCTGCCTTGTGGGAGGAGGCATACAGCTGAGCACCGAGACCAGAGGTTGAGTGCTTAAGTCTGCCTCTTGTAGGGTAAAAATGGTAAGCCCATATAGGGGCAGAGCTAAAGCCATGTTCATTTATTGGCTGGCATTCTAATCTCATCTCTGATTCTTGTGTCTTATTTCTCTACTGACTCCTAATTAGTAAATGAAGACAGAATTATTACTTATTTCTTCCCCTAGAACCTTAAAGAGATTTAAAAAACATTTTCAAGAAGAATGACCAGGGGAGAGGGTATAGCTCAAGCAGTAGAGCACATGCTTAGCATACACAAGGTCCTGGGTTTAATCCCAGTGCCTCCTCTAAAACTGAAAAAATAAGTAAGTAAACCTAAGTACCTCCCTCCCACCCCCAAAAAGTAAAAACAAACAAAAAAGGATGGCCAGAATAATCTAGGAGATAGAATAGCTTCTTTCCTTCTTTTCCTTTCTTTCCCTCCTCCCCTCCTTCCCAATATTTAAGTCCTTACTGAAGGGGTATATATAGATAAGACAAAATCATTGCTCTCACAGAGTATAGATATCTAGTTACAATGCAATACATAGTAAGTGCTACAATAGGAAAATGCATATGGTACAGCTGAGCACAGAGGAGGGAACACCTAATTCTGACCTGGAAGAGAATAACAGAGGGGGCTACAAAGAAATTATACTTTAGATTTGAGCTTAAAAGGATAAGTAGGTGGACACAGGGAATAAGGCTAGTTTCTGGAAGAAGAAGGTGCTCATTCAATGATTAAAAAGTCAGTTTAAGTGCTTGTTCAAGTATAAAATGAGAGTTTCAGCAATTGCATGAGCCTGTATAAACATCACCCCAAACAAGGTGGAGAACATATTCGCTAGTCCAGAGAATTACTTCAATTCATCCCACCTCCCTCCTCCCCACTCATTTTCTGACTTCTAACAGTATAGATGAGTTCGCCTGTTCTTAGGCTTTAAATAATAGTTTTTGCTTATGGAGTAAGGTGTAGTTGAAGTTCATTTCTCCTTATGAATGTCCAGTTGTTCCAGTACCATTTGTTAGAGATTTTCTTCCCCTTTTTGAACTGATTTGGCACCTTGGCTGCAAATTAAGTAACCACGTATTTCTAGATTCTCTTGCCCTGTTCTGCTGATCCATTTGTCGATCCTTCTGGCAATACCACACTCTTGATTACTGTATCTTTATAGTAAGTCTTCAAATCTGGCAGCCTAAATCCTTCATTTTTGTCTTTTTTAAAGATTGTTTGGTTAACTCGAGCCTCTGAATTTCTTTATATATTTCAGAATCAGCTTCTCAATTTCTTTAAAAAAAAAGACTTTAGAATTTTGATTGGGACTGTATGGAATCTAGATATCAATTTAAGGAGAATGGACATTATTAACAATATTGTGTCATCCAATCTACACAGTATATCAATGAACATAGCATATCTCTTTAATTATTTTAAGTCTTCATTAATTTGTTTCAGTGATGTTTTGTAGTTTTTAGTGTAGAGGACTTGTACATTTTTCAGTAGATTTGCTCCAAGATATCAATTTTTAAAAATACATCATGGCAAATAAATTTTAAATAATTTCATTTTTGAATTGTTTAGCCCTAGAAAAATTCTTAATATTTTGATCATGCTGAACAAAGTATGTATAAATTCTGCTTAAATTTTTTTCAAAAATCAGCATTCAATCTCTAGGAGGATTATCTGAATCTCATTCTAATCCACTCATTTTTTAACCATGGTAAATAATTTCTGATGAATAATACAAAATGAACAAAATTTTATATCTACACCCTATATTCAAGAAGGCACAGCAAACATTTTGGTAAATTCTAAACTTCTTTGTAAGACTATACTACTAAAGAGAACCTGTAATACAGAAGACAGACAAGCATTATTATCTAATGATTCTTAGAGAAATAATTTTTCTACTAAGCAGTAAAAATTGTGTGTGGGGTGGGGGTATATTAGAGACTTTCACTGAGTTTCTCTTGCTGCTCTAAATGTTGAAGGATTAGAGATACTAGTGATTCTAAATTAAATATATTTTTGAGGAGTTAGCCCATGATGAGGCTACCCTGTGGTTGAGAATGTACCTAATTTGTTAAAATATTTACTTAGAATTTTAAAAGTTTGCCTTTAAAACAAATGTAAATAAATGGCAAATATATTTTTATTCAAAAAAATTTTAAGGATTTAATTGTATAGTTCTCACAAAAGAGGAGAAATAAAGTCTTATAAAATCAAATGTAATGACATAATGACCAGAATCACTTGATGATGATATCCACCCACTGCTTATGTGCTTCTGCACTGTATGGTTTGTCTAGGGTTTTGGAAAACTCATTGTCTAAACAAGAAGAGTAAGAAGGGATTAAGAGAATAAGTATGGTATAAAAGGCTTCTGAATCTCTACCTCCATCTTCACAGTCTTCAGGGGCTTTGGCTTTCTTACAAAGACGAGGATCCAACCAGGTGGTTGTCTTGGTATTGTGGCTGTAGAATAAAGACTTCAATTAGAAACAGTAAAATAAAGACGGAGGAAAGTATTTCAAAAGCAGAGATGAAGAGTGAGTAAAAGATATATGTTTGAAAATTTATCTCCTATAGGCTTCATCTGTATCCCTCTGATTCAATAGTCCTGTTGTTCTCAGTCTATTACTTCAAAACTGTCATAAAGGAAAGGTAATGCCAGGCACACTAATTTGAGAATGAAGACTTTAAAGAAGGGATAAGATGCCAAGTGCATAAAAACAGATGCTTATTTAAGCCGTCAAAAATGTTTCAAAGGGTGGGCACATGGCCCCATACTGTGCATTATCTTAGCCAAAAAAGCTGCCCTGAAAACCTTGTTTACTTGCTGGCTGAATTCCTTCCTCTCTCCCTTCAAAAAAACACTGTTTCTCGAGTTTCTGTGATGTGTGGGCATTGTGCTGGGGCCTGGGAATACAGAGATGAACAGTCAGACAGAGCCTCAGTCCTCACTAGGACTCTTTAAAATAAAAAAGAGTTAAATAAAATAAAAGAAAGTTTTAAAGAGACTGTTTCTGCAACATGCAAGTAAAAATGATGGGTATAGTAAAACCCAACTCTACAAAAATAAGTTTTCGTCAATATGGGTCATATATTTAATGGGGGAAAAAAAGGTGGAACAAAAAGATGCACCTCGCCCCTTTTTATGAAATAGGCCACAGATATTTTGAAAGAGGAATGCTTGGGTAGGGGGAGGGCATAGCACATGCTTAGCATCCACAAGGTCCAGGGTTCAAGCCTTGGTACTTCCTCTAAAAATAAATAAGTAAACCTAATTACCCCCCCCCCAAAATAAACTTAAAAAAAAAAAAGAGGAAAGTCTGTTTGCTTCCAATCAGGTCACCATGCAGTTAATACTAGTGCTAAAACAAAACTATCATACTGCTATCATATTAAGTCTCTGAAATATGAGGACATTAAAGAAAGAAAAACCCTAGAAGAAAATATATAAGAAGGCAACAAATTGTAAATCTAAAGTTATTATCAAAACACTGAGAATAACAATGTGAACAAACGATCTTTTCTTGGTGTCTTCAGCTTGAGATTAACTCACTCATCTCCACAGTGACCACTTTGAGGAAATGAAGCCAGTGGCTTCAAGGACTAAATCACATCTTCTATACCTTTTCTAACTGTTGAGCTACTTACAGGGCAAGCTAGGCAGTTGCTTCCTACACGTTGCCAGGTATGATACTCGTTGGTAGGCTGTGGTAGGAACACTTTTTTTTGTAAGCAGAATAATGGACAATCTAAGCAAGAGAAATTGGGATTGTTTCTAGAAAGTCTGTGTTACCCATTTGGTCAAAGAGATAAATTCCCCAAACTAAAACCAGTTATATCAATTTTAGCCAAATAAAAATGACCAGGACTCTAAAGAGGCCTAGGAGTATACAGAAGAAAAAAAAATCATGGACATATCTAGCTAAACCAAATTCAAAATTGCTACTTCAGAACAGCTTAACTTTGGATCCAAAGATAAAAAGTTTTTACTGCTAAATTAGCAGATGTAGGCAATCTGCTAGGATTTTACTCAATATTTCCCAAGGTAAAGGAATGCCCATGGGGGCTATACCCAAAACAAAAGAGCTAAAGACTGTAGACCTGTATTAATATTCTCTTCTTACAGACTCATGATTTAACAGCAGCAGTAACACAGACCAAACACATTAGCTACAGCAAACAGGAGAGTTTTTTTTTTTTTTTATCTAGCAGCACCTAATATTCAGCTATATTCTGGGTATTAATCCCTTACTAGACATACGGTTTGCAAATATTTTCTCCTATTCCATAGATTCTTTTTTCACTCTGTTGATTGTTTCCCTTTGCTGCACAGAAGTTTTAAAGTCTGATGCAGTTCCATTCATCTGTTTTTGTTTTTGTTGCCTAGGCTTTGGTGTCATATCTGAGAAGCCTTTGCTAAATTCATTGTTATGAAGATTTTCCCCTCTGCATCTTCTAGGAGTTTTATAGTTTCAGATCTTATATTTAGGCCTTTAATACATTTTAATAATGTTCACCTATAAAGACATTTCTTTTATAAATTCTCTCCCCTGCCCCCAGAATGTGCTAACTTGTCTCTGTTTGCAAGGTGAAGTACTGTCAGATTCCATGTCTCATAATGTGCTTCTAAAGATTTCCAGGTCTCTTTTAGTGACTCTACATCCTAATTGAGGATTTAGTTCTAAAATCAGCATCAAAGTCAAAAGTCAAAATTACTCTTAAAAAATCCCTTAAATTGTCCACAGAGAAGAGCATACCTGACTTTTCCATTTTGTAATATCCTGATCATTAATGTTTATCTAAATGTATAATGTAATTAATAAGGTAGTATATATGGTAAAAATAACACCATGTCTATAAAATCTCTATCTTTTAAACACTAGAATCTCACTTTGTACAGCAAGATGCTCACTCTATGGGAAGACTGTGGAATTTGGGACCAACTGAGGAAACAGATTCAAGTCTCCTATCCCTAATTTATTTCCGAGAAAATATATGTTCTTTGGGTATAGTGTCCAGCCCGTAAGATTTTAATTGTTATTTACTTATTATATTCTATGATTTTACTAAATTCATATTTTACCTCTGGGAAAATTACTTTAGAGAGAATTATAGCTACATGGGAATATAAATACTTCATAATCAAACTTCTAATAAATTATTTGTATAACATATTTGTATAATTATTTATATAATATTTGTTCTCAGGCACAAACAATGTAAAATTTTAAGTTGTGTAAATACATATGGTACCCTATATCTCTATAAATATATTTACATTAATAGTGCTTTTCCATAGAGTACTTTTATTTTTTGTGAATTTATATTGTATCATTTGCTCTAAGGATCAGTGATATTTTCCTCCTATGTTATTTAAATACATTCAGCTCAAACTGAATACATTAAACTCAAACTCTAGGTCTGAAAATATTCAGCTCTGATAAAAAATATGGCCCCCTTCCAAATGCTGGTAATTCATGAAATGCTCATTAAGTTGGCCATTCTACCCAAAAGGTTTAGGAAAAAAAAAAGAGCAAAGCAAAATACCCTTTATTCCTTGCATTTTTCATTATTAGTGATAAATCTGCTTTTAATCCTCCTGTTTTTATAAAACCAGAGGTCAAATACACTATTCCTTTATCCAAATCAAATAAAATGAAATATCATCCAGGCAAATAGATTAAGAATCAACTATAGCTTGCATGAAAAATATTTTTAAAGAAATAGAAAAGAAATGGAAGCTTTGTGAAATGAGGTCAAGAAAAATTTAAGGACAAGTCTCACAGTGACAGGGCACATGAGAAAAGATACAGACACTTGCTTACTCAATGAAGTAGATCATCCCCGTGTCAGTGTAGGCCATTTCCCAGTTTTTGGGCAGTGGTTCCAGATTCTCATCTCTCATCATATAATTTCTAAAGTCCATGGAACTATTCGTTTGGTTGTAACTTGGGACGGTCTTCATCCAATCAGATGACTCAGAATGCCTCTCTCTGTTCTCTGCTATTTAAATAGAAGTATGAAAAGTAGGTAGTTATATTCTCTTCAAATAGCCCTATTTCTAACAAAATGCCAAAGTATATTGCAAATTTCCTTGTCTATTATGTTCACATTCTGCTATAATTGTTGAGAAAACAAACATATTGATTTTGTTTTTCCATTTGCCTAAGTGACATTAACCCTGTATAACACCTCTGATATTAGTCTGGGAAAGAAGCAAAAAACAACACTAGAATCAATTCCGTGTGTACTAAACATATGTCAATCAATATAATACTAACCATAACCATCACAGCAGCACTCATATAGCTCCTTTTATGTGCCAGGCTCTACTTTAAGCACTTTACAAATATTAACTCATAATCCTCACAGCAACCCTGTGAGTATACATTATTACTATTGCCATTTTATAGATGAGGAAACTAAGGCAGAGAAAGGTTTAGTTAATTTCGTCAAGGTTACACAGCTAATAACCAGCAAAACTAGGATGTGAATTTAAGTGGTCCATGCTCTTAACTGCTATATTAAGCTGTCTTGTACACATTTAACATGTGCCTTTAAAATAATACTAATTAAAAAAATTAAACTCAATAGACTTCCTGTTATTAAATACAATTCTCTGCTGGTGACATTAAAATCCTTTTAGAGCCCGAAAGTCCACAAGTAGGTTAAGAATACTAAAATGTGGTTACTCTCTAGGGAGTTCACAATTTATGTGCTTAAAACTCATTTCTAGCAGGGAGGCTATAGCTCAGTGGTAGAATGCCTGCTCAGCATGCACAAGGTCCCGGGTTCAATCCCCAGCACCTCCATTAAAATAAATAAATAAATAAACCTAACTATCCCCTCTAAAAATAAAATAAAAACATAACAAAAATTTTTAAAAGAAAGAAAATTTTATAAAAACCCCAAAACCTCATTTCTAGAACTTAAAAGATAATATAACTGTAATAACTCCAAACTGCAGGCAATGTCTCAGAATCAGAGACTCTTAGAAGAGACCTTAGGTATCATTATATGTCATTCCTTACAGTACTTCCACTCCAACCATCATTTATCCAAGTTCTATAATCCATTAATCCTACTACTTATTACCTTTCACTGTTCCTCACCTCCATCCATGCCCTAGCCATGTTCCCACTGCACTGCCCTACTTACCCAACTTAAATTCCATGATCAACCACTACAGTCACTCCCTTGTAGATACTCCTGATTTCTCTGTCCCATCCTTACTTCATCATACTTGCCTGACTGAACTATAATTCTGCTTAAATGTCACTCTCCATCTACTCTTTGCCAGTACATGTAGGTGAACACAGGAAACACTATTTCACTTTTAATTCATGATCACTAATCGCAAGAAGTTATTCAATGATGTATGACAATCATAGGGCATTTCTTTAGTCCATTCACCCTAACACTCCCCTGGATAACAATTTCATACCTTCCTTCTCTACTTCTGCCTCATCCCTAATCTCATTTGATGACCTTGGATCCTGTTTCACAGAGAAAAGAGAAGCAAGCAGAAGAGAACTTCCACAAATTCCCACCATCGTATTTACACAGCAACTCTGCCCCTTTACTCCACCTACCATTACTATGGAAGAACTCTCTGTGCTTCTGGCAGATACCTCTAACCCCTCCTGCCCACAGCAACTCTCTCTCGTTACCAATCTTTCTTACCTAGTAGGTCATATCCATCCACATAAAAACAAGTTATTTCTCCATTCATTAAAAGGAAGTTAAACAATTCTCTTTCCCCTCTAGCAACCATCTCATTTCTCTCCTTTTTACAACAAACCTCCTTGAAGAAGTTTTCATTTTTCCATTTATTTCTAGAACTCACTCCAACAATGCTTTTGATCTCTCATCAATAAAACTGTTCTTATCAAGGATGATCTATCAATCATCTCCACATAGCTAAGCCCAATGATCAATCCTCAGCGCCCATTTTGCTTGAGCTATCAGTAGCTTCTGACATGGTGCATCATGCCCTTGCTTGAAACACTCTCTTCCCCTGGCTTTTAGGACACTACACTCCCCTGGTCTTCCTTCTAACTCACTGGCTCTTCTTGGGCTCCCTAGTCTCTGTATAATCAGAGTGCCTTCTGAGAGCTCAGTCCTTGGACCTCTTCTCTTTCTACAGTCACCCTCTGGGTAATCTCATGCAGTGTCACTGCTATATAAGCTCTATAGGCTGATGGTGTCCAAACATGTATCTTTAGACCAGAACATAGACTTTTCAATCCAACTTCAAACATGACATTTCCACTTGTGTATCTAGTGGACATCTCAAACTTAAATATCCCAACCTGAGCTCCCTTTCCCAACCCAAACTGACTCCTCATAAAACCTTTCTCACCTCAGTACATGCAACTCCATTCTTCTAGATAGTCAGGTTAAAACCCTTGGAGTGATCCTTGACTCTGTTCTCTCATACCTCATGTCCAGTCTGTCAGTAAATGTTATTGGCTCAGGCCACTTCTTACCTCTCATGTTTTCATTAGGTCTAAGCCACTATTTTTCACTTAAATTACTGCAATAACCTCCTAACTAGCACCCCTGTTTATGCCCAATACTACCCTCCTACTGCCTATTCTCAATATGGTAGCCAGAACGAGCCTGGTCAGACCTGTTTCATCATGGTACTCTTCTACTCAAAACCATATAACGGCTTCTCATCTAAGAATAAAAAGCAGAATTCTGCCAACGACCTCTAAGATCCTATATAATATGTATTTCCACCACCGCCCTCAATCATTATCTGACTGACCTCACTGTTCACTGTTCTGTTCTATCCCCTTCCAGCAGTCTGCCCAACCATATATACCGTATCGCCCACGTTGTATCCAGCTACATTGGTTTCCTTGCTGTTGCCTGAATAATGCCGGCACACCCCCACCTCAGGGCATTTGTACTTATAATTCTCTCTGGCTGGAATGTTCTCTTGTAAGATACTTTGAGCTTATTCCCTCACGTCTTTCAATGTCCTCTTCTCAGTGAGTTCTTCTCTCACACTTCTATCTAAAATTGCAAAATGTGGCCACCACTACTTTTTATCCTTCTCCTCCTCTGCTTTTTCTCTTTAGCACCATCTGACATACTACACGTTATTCATTTATGTTGGATAAGTATGTGGCTCTCACCAGAAGGTAAGGTTCACAAAGACAGGGGGTTTTGTCTGTTTTGTTCACTGCTTTATTCCCAGCTTTTAGAACAATGCCAAGCACTTAGTAGCCTAGTAAATGCTCAGTAAGTATTTGCTGAATAAATCATTTGAATGAAACACATGATTTATTCTCTATGCAGAAAAAGTGATAGAAATTAAAAGGCACTCCAAGTATAAATCAATCTGGAGGGGAGCTCTGTTCTTAGGATTTAAGTGTGCTGGAGAAAAGCAAAAGCACCTATATGAGCCATAATGCTTTTCTGAATATAGTTTCAAGAGACTGCATAAAGGAGTTTCCTTAATAGCTAATGATTTGAAAATGTTGTTTAAATAACACCACCTCTAAGAAAAAATTTTACCATTATTACATAACATGTGTCATCCTGTTTGGGCACATTAGCATTCCTATGTCAATTCTTCAGTGAGACACAATAATATACATATCGGTACATACAAGCAAATCTCTACCTATCCTCTCCAACTTCCATCCCCAACCATTTCCCAAGTTTTCAAAGTAGGGACTCTAGTCCCACAAAGCAATACACAAAGCACATTTCCCAACTTTGAATAAGTTAACAACTATGGTTAGTACTTATTCAGAAAACACTAAGAACTTTGAGTATGTCTTTTATTTTTTTTTCATTAAAATATTCTGAATATTTTCTGTTACAAAGAAACATATAATCCAGTGGAAGTGTCTTATGGTATCTACACACAGAGAGAGTATACAAACTGCCTCCCACACACTCTTGGATGCATTCCCTTTAAATAGTAACATTAAAGGTTATGTAACATCTGGTTTAACAACTGGCTTACATGACAGGCATAAACTATGGAGATTATAGATACATTTACCTCCGAGGGAACTGTAGTGGTCACTGAAAGGCTCTATATCAGGAAGTTAAAAAAGGGCATTTTCTTCTCCTTCAAATTAAGAATGTATAAACTCCCATATTGGGATGGAGTCAAGGTCTCTAATCCCAGTTTTAGGCATTTTAAAATGTTAACAGACCTAATTTTGTGGGCGAGCAAAACTGAAACCAACATCAAAAGACTCTAGGATATGATGATTTCCCTTAATGATCCCTAAAGAATTAGACATGAATTCACCTAAACCTTTTTAGAGCTGTTTTTACTCAAATATACTGGTGTAATTCATTGAACATACATGTGACATAACTATGTGAGGTGTTAGAACTATAAAACAGGTCTCACACTCTGGAGGGGACGCAAGCAATGAATGTATTACAACCAGAGATACAATATATACAGCAAATTTTAATAACTGATGAAGGAAAGCATTTGAGAACATAATATGGTAATGTATTGTGCAAATTTGGGGATATGATCAAATTCATTCATTTACCAGATAGCAATAAAATATTTTTTAGTTTCTGCTATGTGCCAAGCACTGTTTATGGTTCAAGGGCTACAACAATGAAGAAAACAAAAATTCCAGCCCTTATGAAGCTTATATTTTACTGTTTTTAATGGAATTATTATAATAGCACTGAAATCAGTTCTGCTGTGATTCTGTGGTTTCCTATTTATACACTTAATTATAATTATAAGTATAAGAATCTCTTAAGCAGTCAATCTATTATTTAGGGGAACTCAAAAGGTGGATTCTCTACCCCTAAATTTCTATTGGTTTTGCATTTAATGAAAAATACGACAGTCAAGTTTGGAAATTTTCTTTGAGTGATTCAAAATCTAAAACTCAAAATATTGCTAAGAAACCTTTCAGATAATTTTTATTAGCATATTTCCACATCTCTGTATTTTGTTTTGTTTGAAGGTTGTATCTTAAAACATCTACATTTTGTTCGGGTTCTGTAAAGTAGGACTTAGGCCAACAAAACTCTCATATTCAAGCATCAGAAATGAATCTCAAATCTTTTCAGCTTCAGGGTAATGGCATATATATAGTATTACTAATGAGAGCTTATAACTGATTTATCAAAACTGCCATTTGGGGCAGCTCATGTCAGCTCACAAGACAGAGGTACACTTCGTTTCACACAAAACCTAGAAAAAAAAAAACCCTTAGAATCCCATACTTGCTCTGCATTTGCTCTGTGAAAAATTTTTACTACTTGCAATTCAGTGTCATGTTACAGTCAACCTGGAAGATCAGTTTAAGTTGTTCATCTATTTACTAACCTGCATTTCCACTGCCATTGACAGCTTCCTTGTCTTCATCTTCTTCCTCTTCAGGAAGAGAGCTGTCCATTCTTTCCATCTTGCTGACAGATGTGGTTCGTTTTCTTTGGGATTCTGTGTCAAACTCATTATCAAAGAGGACCTGATCAACCGGATCTGGCTGGAAAGGGCTGGGCTCTGCTGGAGGCTTGGGAGTTCCATAGAAGTTTCCTGAAGTGGAGAAAATAACAGCAGCTGAAAGCACTGATGCTGACTTGAGAGTCAGACTACAATATGACCTAGTGTACGTCTCTGCCCTGTTACCTTACACTGAAGTTTCTGAATACCCACCATCGGCCAAAAGGAGGCACAAACACTTTTTCTTGGGAGAGGAGGAGGTAGAGGGACCAGAAAGAACTAATTTCTCAAGTGTCCTCACCACATATCATCTAACATTACCTAACATTTTAAGACTGTCTGTGCTAAGGCCAGGAAGCTGACTTTACACATATGTAGGTTATTTATTCCTACTGGGCTTGCTTTGCATGGGTTCTATATTAGGGTCTAATTTGTGAATTTAAATGTGTCAGTGTTCTCATGTAAGACTAATTGGCATAAAAAGTGGGAGTAAAGGAGGAGAAAACTAACTCAAATAAATTTGTTCTGATGTGTAACATAATGAACGATTTTGGTAAAATAAGGAAATAGGCAGGCAAAGGATAAAGCTCAGAACCAACCAGTCTGTTTTGAAATGTAAGCTGTTCACATAAAAGTAATTTTTAAGTTTTTCTGAGCATTTTAATGATATAATTTTATCTGACAGTGAACAAATAGAGACTTTATTAGCATAATATTGGCTTACTCTTAGGAAAGCAAGAAACACTTTAACTTTAATATGTTAAGTCTTGAAAGCCAACCATTTTTGCAGTAAAAATGAATGTCCCAGAATAGAATGGAAACAACTGAATATCTTCTCTATTTGCCACGTGGTCTCCACTAGGCAGCCACATACAATAGGCAAGTACCCAATGGGTAGAGCTACATTAACAGTTTGTGGCTCTTGCTAGTTTTGACCTTACATCAATCACTATACTGATGTTATAGAAAGATAAGTATGGCCAGGGAGTGAAATACTCATGATCTTCATCGTCTTTTTTAAAAATCACATCTCTTAATCAAATTCCTTGACTCATAAAGAGGTAATTAAGCTGCTCAATTCACACAAGGTAAATTGATGGTGTACATGATGGATTATGTTTCCTGGACAAAAAAAAAAAGCATAGGTTGTTTACTATATCACTGAGGCAAATCTATAAAAAACATGGTTTACATTAAGTCTTGCATGCTTTCAGGGGGAAAGTATTAAGATAAATTCTTTGGAAACTTGACCTTGAGCAGTAATTGTCAGTAGAATAATCAAGACAAAACAATGGAATCAAACTAATTTGATTAGACTCTTCAACTACATCTTGCCTCCTCACTCACCTACTCCCTTGCTTCCAAATCCATGTTTGAAATAGAGTTACTCCTGTCATGCAGATGGATGCAAAGGTCTATATTAAACAGTCTAAGAGGATCTCTGCAAACTTTCTGGCCTATAAGTAATGCAAGAAGCCAATGAAAAAGCCAGTGCACACTTCTCTGGGGGAGTGGGAGTGGAGATGCTCCAAACAGAGGGGACTTTTTTTTTTTTTCTGCATGATGTCCAATAATCACACTACCAAGGAATCTGGATATACCATGACCAAAGTAAAAAGATCACTTTTTTCTAAGGATGATAGTTTTACAGGAAACACTAGAGACACAGTTTACTGTGTATTCTTAGTAACGCTTATCTAATTCTAGGAGATTTAGCTTTTTTCTAGGGTGAAAATAGAAAATTTCAGGATATTGTGATTGTTATATCCATCATCACTGATAAGAGTTTAAGACTTTGTAATAAATTTTGGCAGTTTCCTTATTTTAAAAAAGTATTGGCTTAGATTAAAAAAGAAAACTAGCATTGCTTATTAGTAAATTAGATCTACTTTTCTTGACTTATTGGTAAACATCAAGATTTCAGATACAGGAAGGTATAGAATTCTGAGGTTTGTGAACCTTGACTATAGTTATTCACAGTTATTTTTCTTCTTTCTGAAGACTTTAAAATTTTTATAATTCAACAATCAACTATTAAATATTTTAAACCTATATAAAAGTCCCAGACAACAGTGTTACTATTTATAAGTAAGTAACTTATTTATTTACACATCCCCAGATACTAACTTTTGCCAGGATCCTTTCAGGTCTCCCTTTTTTCCCTCTTTAAGGACATACATACATGGTCGCATATACAATTACAGCCCTAATTTCCTGTCTCGGTCCTTCCCACTCTCTCCCTGAATTATCCTAATGTTGGTGTATGTCATGTCCCTGCATACTGTGTCCATCTAGGGCAAATGCATATGCACACGTGACATATAAATACTATCGTTTTAATAAAAGCTTCATAGAATGTTTATAATATTTCATATCTTTTTTTCTAAACAGTATACTGTATGTATCCTTTTGCAACCGTCTTTTTATACAACTGTACTTCTAAGACTTATTCCTGCTGGTACATTGAGATTCTAGTTCATCTAACTGCTATACAGTAGTCCATTCTTATGAATACATTAAAATGTATTTTACTCATTGTCCTACTAAAAGGGAGCTGCTTCCACTCTCTCATTGTTTCAAATAATGCTGTAATGGCTGTTCTGGTGCATGTCAACATGTGCACATGAAAAAGGGTTTTCTGGAGCAGGCATCCAGAGAGGGCACTGCTGGGTCAGAGCCACATGCATCTTTGAATTAACTAGCTATTGCCAAGATGTTCTCCAAAGGGGCTGTATTATTTATACTCTCACCAGCTGTGTATGGGAGTTTCCATTTCGCACAATTATCAGACTTTAAAATTTCTGTCAATCTGACGGGTGTGAAATGATGGATGACTATTATTTCAATCTGCATTTCCTTTGAATTGAACACACAGTAATTAAGTACACAGAATAGGCCACTTTGTCACATACCACGTTCTTAACAAGAAAATGTAGGAGAGTATCTTTGTGATCAAAGGGCAGATAAGGAATTCTTGCAGAAAACTTCAAAGCACAAATCATAAGGAAAAATAAATAAATCAGACAAAGGTTAAGGATTTCTGTCTGATGAAGACACAGAGAAAAAGGTTATTAGGTGACAGAATGGGAGAAAATATCTATAGCCAATAAGGGATTAATATCTAAGTAAATATCTAAGTATCTAAGGCATGTCTGCAAACTGGAATGTGACTGAGATCCCACTTTTAAAAAAATGGACAAAGCAAATGAATAGGCAATTTTCAGAAGTCCAAAAAACTTACAAGCATATGAAAAGCTGCTCAAACTCTCTATCAGAGAAACTAAAATTAAAACGACTTACCCCTTCTACAACCATCAGACTGGCAAAATTATAAAGCTGGATAATGCCAAGTGTTGATGAGAATGTGGAGCACTGCTACAGAACCAAGCCCCAGGGCACTGCTGGTGGGAATACAGCCTGCAGACCTAGCCAGAACTACTGCACCAGATTAACTATACGTAGCTCTTATAACCTAACAATTCTACTCTTGGGTGTATATTCCGAAGACATTCTCACACAGGCCTATGAGAAGACCTGTGTGAGGATGTTTGTTGCAGATTATCTGTGGTGATGGGGAGTTGGAGACAATCTGGAAGTCCATCACTAGGAAAACGGTCAGGTAAAATGCAGTGGATTCACAACAGGGAGTTGTGTGTTGTGTTAAAAAACAATCAGTTACGTGCAAATACAGTATAACAACATAGATGAGTCTAAAAAACAAAGGAATAAGGAAAATAGTTAAAAACTAATGAGATATAAAACATGGTCCAGATGTTAAATTGAAATACACGTGCGCAAGATAAAACATACATTTTGCAAGAACACATACAAACAAAAACATATATATTAAACACATCAGAATGGTTGCCTATAAGAGGGAGGTGAATGAGAGTAGGCTATTTGCATAAAAATAAAAAATAAGCAGCTGTCACTTCCTCTGAGAAGTCTTCACTGGCCATGTGATCTAAATAAGGCATTCCTATAATTTTCTTTCAATCCTTGTTTTTGTTTCCTTTATAACATCTCAATTTAGGTATTTTGCTTGTTTGTTTGTTTTTGACTGTCTTCCCCACTAAGGTCTAAGATTTATCCAGGCAGTACCATTTCAATATTGCTCAGCACAGTATCTCTAGTCCCTCTGATAGTGCTCAGCACATAGTAGGTACTTAACAAATGAGTTGTTGAATGAATGAAAGAAGGATCAAATAAATTAATAAATGAATGAATGAAACTTGGGAGCTAAGCCCAGAAAGGGTAGCTGGGTCAACTTAGCAGGCAAAAGGAAATCACTAAAGATTCTGAAGAGGAGAGAGACATGACCAGAACTGCACGTGAGGAAGACCAGCATGGTAGCAATAGGCAGGGTGGACTTGTGAGAGAGAAGAGAGTGGGACAAATGAGATCCACGGGGATGGCTGACATGAGCTAGTCCAGTGGGTCTACAATGAGGTGATGAAAGTAAAAAGAAAGGCATTGTGAGAGCTGCTACAATGGAAGAAATGACTAGACTTGGTAACAGACTGGATGCAAACTGTGAGAAAAAGGAGGAAGTAAATGAAGACTCCCCTGTCTTCAGCTCTCAGTGCAGCTAAAGAGAAAAATTATGAAGAATTACTCCTTTGGACCGAACACAAATGCGTATCTGGATATGTCGCATTCATGGTTAGATACTTATTGAACAACATCTCTTGGCACTGAAGATAATATTGAGCAAGAAAGACGTGACATCTGCTTCCACAGAGCTTGAGAAAAGGGCAATTATAATAGTGTGATAAAGCAATAATGGAAAAGTACAGGGTGCTATGGGAGTGCACAAGCTTTCCAATGAAGAGTCTTAGATAAGGAAAAAAAATTTTTAAGGTGAAACCGATCTTAAATCAGTACTTCCTAGACTCAAGTGAGTAAAGATTTATGAAAAGAAAACCCAATTTTTCTGTTTTTGTTATCCCCTCTCCTCACAATCTGTATTCTCTTTTCTCCAGGAAAACCACGGTATAAATAGATTTTAAAAGTGTACAGTATTTGGATTTCCAGCCACAAACAGAACTCGCAAGAACTTGCTGAGTTCATCTGATGAATGCGAATTACTATGAATATGCAAACTGGCCAGCTTGAATGATTTCAGCATATTGTTCACAATCAACTTTATAATACGATGGAATGCTTTCGCTTGTTGTTTAACCTCATTTTAATTAGTAAATTACAAATAGCCTCATCAAAAAAAGTTCCCAAAGACTGATAGAAAAACTTCTAAAAAGGGGTATTTTACTGATCATTCCCGCTGAAATAATTCCAATCATTCAGATAGTTTTCTAAAGCGCACTTGTCAATATTTGGGGACATACCATCATACGTTCCACTTTCTAATAACGCTCCACTGTCTTCCAGTGCTTTGAATTGTTCAACAGAAATGAAATTATAGTCCACCCCTGGTACTTCCCCATCCCTGGGGGCCCTTGTAGTGCCTAAGGAAAAAAACAAGAAAAAAATAGGTTGTAAAGTGCTTTTAAACTTACAAAATGTTGAGAATAATAGAAAACTCAGTTTATAGAGAAACAGACTATTGAATATATTATATCTTCTAGAGTGATGATCAGAGAACCTGAGGTAAATTAACATTCCTAGGTGAAAGTAGCACCATAAATAACGTAGGATGAGTAAATATACTTTAATAAAATCTACAGTTATGAAATTCAAAATTACAAAGATTAAAATGTTAGTGTCAAAGGAAGCTTAACTTTCCAAGACACCAACAGCTAATTCTTCTTTTAAACCTCAATTACCATTACTTAACATTTGAAGGAAAGATAAATCCACTAAGGATTTCATTTTTATGTAGCTAGCTTACGTATTTTTTTCCTCTCTAGCATAAATGTAAACTATTTATGCTACTTACTAGAGTCACGAAGGACAAAAAAAGAAACAATTTTTTAAAGTTCTTTTAATGAACTAACTCCATTTAAAAATCCTGAACAAATATTAATTATGTAATTATTTTAGACTAATGAATAAAGCGCTTAAGGCTTAAGACAGGAATTCACATATTACTTCTTAGCCATTATTCTCTTCAAGTAATTTCAAAAAATTAAGCAGTAAGTAAGTAACTGTTTAAGGAAATTCACTACAGCAACAGAGCACTACATTTCCAGCTATTAAGGAATGAATGCCAAAGTAAAATCTTTCGGATCCAAGCTATAAATTCAGGTTATGCCATCATTGCTGTATTTTTAATCAAATTTCACCAAACAAGAATTATTACTTTTATGAACTGATACTGGAAATGTCATTTCAAATACTAGAGAATCCAAGGAAGAGACCCAGGGGTTCAGGCTGGAGCAGAGCTGGGGCCTTGTCCTGCACGAGGATGCCTTCCCAAGCCTGTGCCTGTACTTGCGCTCCCTGTTAACAGCCCTCCAAGCCAGAAACCTGAGAATCAGGCACCTCGGGTTCCTCCCTCTACTCCAGGCACCAAATCCGGTTGATTCCATCTCCTAAATACCTCTAGGATTTACAGACTTTTCTTCATTGTCATACTCGCTAAATTCATTCCATTATCTACGGCCTGTATTGTTGGTCTCCTGCGGTCACCCCCTTCCCAAAACAAGACCCTTCCCTACCCAAGCTGGGGCCAGTGACTTTTCCAAAGCAATCTGAGCAAAAAGCCCTCTAAAGCCATCAGTGGTTCCCATGATCCTTGGCATAAAATCCAGACTCTACCTCTCCAGCTTCTTTCTTGCCTCATCCCTTTCACAGTCAAGGCTTTAGCCACAGCAGATTCCACCCCAGCCCCAGTTCTTTTAGGCTTTCTTGCACTTGCTTATCTCCAAGGCCTTTTCTTTTTCCTTGGAAGTTTTCCTATTCCTTTTCCCACTCTTACCTCAGCTAACTCCTACTCAACCCTTCAGGTCCTGGCTTAGAAAGTTTCTTTTCAGAATTTTCCTTTTCTTTTTTTGGTGAGGGGGGAGGTAATTAGGTTTATTTATTTATTTTTTTAATGGAGGTACTGGGGATTGAACCCGGGACCTTGTGCATGCTAAGCACACACTGTATCACTGAGCTATACCTTTCCCCTAGGGAACCTTTCTTGATTCCCCATCTAGGGTGTGGCAATATGCAGGGACCATGCCTACCTGGTTCACAGCAAGAGCTCCAAGTCTTGGCACAGTGTGAGAACCATGGTAGGTACTCAATATGGAGAGTCGTCAAATTAAGTGAAACTTTAAACAAATGTAATTAGCACAGTACCTGTGCCATCATTATAAATTAATTCATAGGAAGCTACAGATTGCTTTTACTTTTTAGTGGCATTACATTCTATTATATTTTGTGACATGTGAAAAAGATTCACAATAATGATGATAAAACATTAATGGTAAATGATCTCAGAAAACAATGATTAAGCCAATATTCTAAACAAAGACTGTATGCAATGAATTTCCCCCTTATTTTTACCCAATTTTTAAATAAAAACAACCATTTCTTTATCTGTTTTATATTACAGAGGATGCAAAATCTAGAAATCGTAACTTCCTTTTTTTTTAACATATTTTTTCACTGTCAAATTTTGGTTTCTCATATATTGACTAAAATACACTGTTAGAGTCCCCAAATCAACAGCTTTTAGTTCCATATTAAGTAAAAGTTAACATTAGAAAATAAATTCAAAACAATTAAATTTATGACTAGTAGCTATGACAGATGGCAAAACATGGCCCCATATTTTGAACCTCCTCCCCACATGAGAGGGGCCTGTTGCCTCACCTCTTGAATCTGGACTGGATTCATGGCTTGCTTTGAATATTTTAATGTGATGGTGTGCAAGTTCAGGAGTCTAGATTTCCACCTTTGCCTTCTTGGAATGGTCCCACCACCATGGATGGATATTCAGGCTGGACCACTGAATGATGAGAGTCCCAGCCAACAAACAGCACCAAGACCCCAGACATATGAGTGACTCTATTTTAGACCTTCCAATCCTTGTTGAGCTGCCAACAACTGCAGCCACATGAGTGGTCCCAGTTGAGCTCAGCCAACTCATGAAACCATGAGAAATAATACATGGTGGTTGTTTTAAGCCATTAAGTTTTAGGGTAGTCTGTAATACAGCAAAGGCTAATTGAAATATTACCCAAATAAACTCTACTATAAAACATAATGACTATATAAAACCCAATTTAAGGGTAAACCATATTACAGATAACACTATTTAAAAACAAACACTAACCCAAGGGGCAGGAGCAACTCTGTGTTGTAGTCTGGGATGATTATTAATGGTACAGTTTTGAGTGAGCACTTAATCCCTCTGGGCTTCGTTCTCTTTCTGCAAAGTGGCATTGAGCGAGATGGTGTTCTTAACTCTTTCCATTAATAGATACAAAACATTATGTATGATTCCAACATATATGTTTCCAAGACTCACAAAGTAGCTTTAAAGTTAATTCTCTTTACAAATGTATTATAAATTTTTACTTCCCCCCAAAACATACAATCTCGTACACATAAAAAGTTCTCTACCTTCCCCTACCCTACCCATTGCCTTCAGCATTCCAGAGAATTCATCTTTCTATTCTGATACTCTATAAACTTAATGTAAAGCTTTGTATACTCCATCCAGTAAATACTATCTTTGTCCTTTTTACATAAAAATTCCTCTAAGTTCTCCTTACTCAGTCTCCAATTCCTCTCCTCTCATTCTCTCCGTGCCATTCCAATCAGATCATTGCCCCAACCACTCCCACTGAGACAATTTGTTATGTGTATTAGTAGTTTCCACTTGGCCTGACCCAATGGTCAAGTCTCAGTGCTCATATTACTTGGCCAATCAACAACCTTTGACATAATTGATCATTCTCTCCCTTTTGTTTTATTCTGAAATACACAGAAAAGTACATAAAACATACATGTAAAATTTAACAAGTAATAATTAAGCAAACTCATCCAGGTGAAGAAACAGAACATTATGAGGACGCCAAAAGCCCCACTGTGTGCCTCCAACCATAAATCTCTCTCTTCCTCCACCCCCAACGTAACCACCTTCTTGACACTTGTGATGATTTCCTGTCTTTTAAAAAATATTTTTACCAACGAAGTAATGCATTTCTGAGCAACAGAGCTTAGTTTTGCCTGTTTTGTAACTTCATATGAAAGGAATCATACCATATGCATCCTTTTGTGTCCATGTCAATACCTGTTACCAGGTTTTGAAATTTCTGCCAACATGCTAAACACGCAAAGGCATCTCACTGTGTATTTCATGCACAAATGCCTTATGAGATTAAACATTTTTCATATATGTACTAGCCACAGAGATTGCTTCTGCTGTGAAGTGGCTATTCAAGTCCTTTGCCACTTCTCTTTTGGGGTGCTTATCTTTTTAAAAATTGTAGTTCTTTACATTCTGGACACTATAGTACTTCATCAAATCTATGTAACCAGCAGCTTCCAAATGCACCATTATTTTATCCCTAAGATAGATATAAAAACCCTGACAATTACAATTGAGGGATGTCATGTATTGCAAGGTGCATTCCAATTGTAGAGAGGTTAAAATGTGAAATAACTGTCTTAGTACTAAAGCACCACAGTCCTTTGCCAATCGATACGTGTGTTGCAAATGGGGTGTTTCTGCTGAAATGTGAAATACACTTTCTTGAAATAATGCTTTCTGCAAAATCATGCACCAAAACAAACAGAAGATTGTGGAGAAAATAAGGTAGGGTGGATCTCTGTATCCAGAGCACAAGTAAAATCAGTAACAATCCTAATAAAAATATTAATACAGTTTAAAAGATACGTTATACTCCTCATAAAAATATTAGAGTAAATAAAATACTTTGTCTTTAAAAACAGTAAGAAAAAAAGAAATGAAGAGAAAAGGCAGCTTGGCAGAAAGGGGTACAAGCAGGGTTGAGGCTATTGAATAATGAAGATATGACAAAATGTGCAAACAACAATTTTAAGATCAAGCATAAGTTCAAGTAGAAAAAAGATGCCAAATTGAGGTGAACAGGCATCATATACAGTAGAAGCAACATATGGCTATGTTTGTACAGTGTATGTTTACTTGCTGCTACTTGATGATACAAAACATTAGCTTGCTGGGAAGAAGAAATAAGAACTAACATTATCTCAGATCACTTGACATCATTCTCCTACCTAATTAGGAATCACATATGAACTTATCCACATTATCAAAACAAATGATGTTGCAAAACACTATCTTCTCCCATTCCGTGATTTCTTTTCACCTTTTTTTTTTCAGTGGTCTTTTGATGACAGAAGTTTTTCATTTTACCGTAGTCAAATTTATCAGTCTTTTCCTTTAGATTGAATGCTTTTTGTGTCTTGTTGAAGAAATCCCTTCCAAGGCCATGGACATACTCCATATCCTTTTAAAAAAAATTACAGTTTTGCCTTTCACACCTAGTACTTTAATGTTCTAAAACATTTTTTTTGGACCTAGTGG